TTCTCCAATCCAGTCGAGGACAGTGATGTCGCCCGACCGAGCCACGATCTCCTGCAGGAGTCGCCCGAGCGCATTCTGCTTCTTCTCGCCATAAATGACAGGTAGGGTGATGCCGAAGATGCCAAATAATGAGTACGCGACATCTTCCTGCACAGTGGTGACGCGCTTTGACGCCCATTGCAGTTTCTCTCGGGCCCCGCTCATGCCTGGACGGAAGGTCATCAGGGTCTGCGCATCTATCCCCGTCGCATCCTCCAACTCCTTTATGATTTCAGGGGACTCTTTGTGGTTAGAAGACCGATCGTCGAGATATAATGACCAGTCCTTCCGATAAAAGATAACAACTTTCGGAGCAACGAATTCTTGAAAGGTCCATCCCCACTCGTTCCAAACGCTCCTCGACAGTGCACCGGACTGGGATGAAGGAGGGACGTCGCATAGGTAGACGATGGTAAGCGCTGAATGGCGGTACCAGACGAACATGGAGTTGACCGATTCTTGAAGCTCGGTGTTGCTCTTCTTGTCGATGCAACACGTGTCCATCCACGCCCAACGATACCCAGCATCACGAGCGACTTTGCAGAACGACTGCAGTTTCGCGATGCCGCCAAGTCCCCTCAACTCGCGCACATCTTTATCCTGGATGTCGTGCAGCACTGCCTCCTTCTCTTCCCACCTGTGTGATAGCATGACGCAGCGGAAGTACATTGCTACCACTTCTTTGATGCGGTCCATTTCGAGGTCTGAATGCTTCATTGTGAATGACAAAAGCTCCTTGTACTTTGCACTAGTTTTGAAGGCATTTATTTGTGCCGCTCGATCGCACAAAAGACCCGTGGAGGTATTAAGTAGTCGTAGCGGGGTATATTCGAGTTCAATCCAAACAGCTCTTTGAATAGCGTCTTCTACTTCGGATGGATGCACATATTGCTGATGCAGGCCTGCAGAATGAGATAGGCATTTCGACATTATGCAGGAGTCTTCCAAGGCTCACCTTGCATCGCACTTCGGGAGAGTCGTCCAACTTAGACAACATGGTTCTGAAGGCTTCGATGGCTTCGTCGTAACGTTGTGCGCCACGCAGCGCTGCATGTGTCAACTGGTATCCAACGTGAGATGAAGGATTGAGCTCGGTTACCTATGCACCGCTGGAGTCAATATGGGCTACGAAGACATAGATGCCATCGCACCTTTTGCACGTCGAGAAGCGCTTCCTCCCATAGCATTTTACCTAACTTTGCCTTACTACGATTTGCAAAGACAGCATCAGACGCTGAACTCAGTTCGATCACCGCCGAGTAAAGGGCAATAGCCCTGTCATAGTCGCTTGCAGCGAAGGCAGCATCACCGCTGGTAAGTGAAAGGGCGCTGCATTTTTCCGTGAAAGCTGAATGAAATGGGAGTGAGGATTCTAGCTTGCGCGATATTGCGAACTCGAGACTTGCCGTTGGACCATTCATAACAGCTGACCTTCGTTGCTTCATCGATATTATCCATCATGTATTGGTATGATCTGACGGCATGTTGAAGTTTACCTGCCAGAAGGAATGCATGACAACGTTTCTGGTGTGCAGTGAGCCGCAATGAGCTGAGATCCCAGCCGAAGAGCTGAATAAGACACTTAAATACGAGAAAAAATTCGGATGTGTATTCACTTACCACTACCAAGTCCTCGTATATGAGATGAATGGGTGAACTCGATGACAGAGCACTCGACTTGAGAACGGCGGTAAAATGGTCAGCGGCTTCTTTGTGACGTGCGTCATCCAACACCTTGATTCCTAGTTGAACACGCAGATATCCCTTACGTGCGAGAGATTAGTGTTGATGACTAAGTGCGGATGCTACTTACCTGCACGACACAACACCCGAGAGAATCGGCATTTGGACAGCCAGTAAAGAGTTCTTTGAGGAGCAGCTTTGCCTCGTCGTGTTGGTCTGGATTGAAGAGGGCGATGGCCTGAAAGACGCGATGAAGCGGGCAGTATGCGAGGTAGACGTAACATACTTTGATCAAAAGCAGGAAATGGAGAATTTGTGAGTCTTGGTCCGTATACATTGATGCAACATCAAATGCTGCCCTCGCATCCGGGACGCGACCTTTTCCACAGAGGGCAATGCCCTTGGATATGTAGCCTGTCAATGAAGGCTGAATACTGATGGACTATGATACCATTGAGTTAACCTTTTGTAAGGGAGCCATGATCAATGCGTATAACTCACTTTGATCGCATCCTGAAGGGCGTGGTTCCAGTTGTGTTGTCGAGCCATCACGAATGAACGATGGGCATAGGAAGAATAGTTGTTGGCATCGGTGTTGATATCTTGCGTGAGTAGTTCTTCGGCGGTAGACAAGTCCCCATCTATGCATGCAATACGGGCTGTTGTGATGGCTAGGATCTGCACGAAACATGCTCGAATTGTGGTATATGAGTCAAGGACGGAAACATGCCTTTGGATGAATGCCTTGACTCGGAGGTACTGCCCACTCCAAAATTATCTTATCGTCACCTCCGCTCAGGATGTGATTGCCGTCCACGGAGAAAGTGGCACAGAATGGCGTAGATGTGTGCTTAAAACTGGCAATGGTTCGTCGGTCTGAGAGCCGCCAGAGACGGACATGATTGTCACGGGATGCGGATGCGACGAGTGTGCCAGCAGGATGAACGGCAATGTCATTGATATGATTAGAGTGGCCCGTCCAAGGATTGTGGACCTGCTTCCAGGTTGTTGTATCCCATTCGCGTATGGTAGCACTACCACCTGTGAGAAGGCGAGTGCCATCGGGCGTCCATGCGAGTGAGAAGTTAAATGCGTGAGCCTTGAAAGATGCAATGTGTTCCCTCGTGCCTGGATTATAGATTTGAATATTCTTGTTTGTTGCGATGGCAAGAAGTTCTCCAGAGGCCCGTAGTGTTGTTGGCAAAACAGCCGAGTTTTGCCAACTGGTTGTGCCAGACCGGTTGTGCCCGGTGATCGGCAAAACTCATGCAAAATGGGGGTGGCACAACTTGGCAAAACTTGCAGAGATGTAACTTAAATCTGATAAATATACCTTGAAATTCAATAGAATATCGTCCCTAAAGCAAGATGTTCCATGGTGGAGGATACCCACTTGCATCATTGATGAATTTCGAGCGCCTAGAACTCAAGGTTAGACTTGGCATTCAAGTTGCAAAATGCTGAAATGATTGGGATATAATGATAGCGAAAACACTTTCTGATAACCTGCAGCCCTACATGAAATTCACATACTCAAGGCCTTTACTGTGATGATTCTCTTGATTCCATGTCTATTAGAAACTCATCTTTCCACTAGTATAAAGTTAAGTATGATAATGTGATAGCGTATAGCTGAATTATACAGATGCTGGTAATTATGTACTATATAATGTAATATATGCCCTTCTCAGAACTCCGGTAGTTCACTGATGATGGGCTCCGCTCTTGACCAAACCTTGTGATGCAGATGACATCCTGCCACAGACTGAAGAAGTTCGGAACATTAACGAAGTTGAATTGCTGGAGGAAAATGCTTTTGATTTCGATGATTGATGTCTTCATTAGGAATGTCATACACATATATAGCCTAGAGTTTCGCCACCTAGCAAAACAACCAGTTTTGCCAGTTTTGCCGGTTGCAACCGGCAAAACTGACCCCAAGTAGTTTTGCCCCCCACACTACCAGAGGGCGAATACCGTACGCAGCGAACATTATCACACCCAATTGGATCTTCCTGCTCCCAAGTTTGGGTGTTCCACAATCTCATCATTCTGTCATCAAGTGAAGCAGTGACCAGCGCTGTTCCATCAGGAGAAAAATCTAGCACGAGTGAGTAGAGTGACTGGTGGGCTTCGATTTTGGTGAGTGATTCGCCAGTTTCTCCGTGCCAGACGATGACGTTCCTGTTGATATCACCGCTTGTTATCAATTGCCCATCTCGTGATACTGCCAATCTCCACACTTCACTACGATGCCCCTCCATCTTCTTCAACACAACACCTGTCTTCAAGTCCCACAGGCGAAGTGTTCCGTCCCATGAGCCCGTAACCATCCGCTGTTTATCGGGGAACACTGCGGCTGTTGTTACGGGTCCTTCATGACCTTCGAACTTTTGCACGGGTATGGTGATTGGAATGAGCTCTGGCATTTTACTGGAGGTTGATATCATTGGGCGTAGTCAAGGTGGACTTTGGAGGGATTGCGGGTATGTTTCCGCACAGGTGTGTGTACTTTGCAGTCTAAAACATACCTCCCTACATTCACCTGTCTCATCTCAATAGATGCCCAGGACACCTGACGCTGTTCGCTTCCACGCCTTCGATACCCATTATGGCAAGAATGCACCCTATTATCGTACCCGCTAAAAATATACCCTCCCAGCGCCTCAGTGCATTATAGCTGATTGCAATATCACCTCTTCACCCCTCCTCCCACGTGCTTGTGCAGTGTGCACTGGATGTAGCTGAAGTCATCCCTTCTGGTGTCTTTGGCGTCTTTAACTTGTCACCAATTCTGTCATGGAGGAGCGCTTTACTTCCAGTGCTCTGTTCATGATTGATTTCTATTTTGACCTTCCATTACTCCAATCCTGCGCTGGCATTACACAAGTACTGCTACAGTGCAACATGGTCGCTGACTTTAGCAAGCGCCTTCGCCCAGATACTACCAAGCACTGCGTTCAAAAGACTATCGTTGCAGGTATTTGTGAATACCATCTACCACGTAGTCAATGGTCACTATACCTGGATTGCGAAAGACCAAAGTGAGGTTTAATGATAGTATAGTACAAACTGTGCCATACCATTGCTATCAAGCATGAATGCAAGCAGTCAGAAGCAAGAAAATTTAAGGGTGTGTGCAAAGTTCAAACCTGACACCTGTATATCCTGTCTGGTGCCTATTCTACTGATTCTATGTTATGGTATGTGACCATATGACAGTGTTGCTTTTGTTGATGAGTTAATGTGTGATGCACTGGACTTGTCATTAGTTCTACCCGATGCAACTTGGCCACATTCTCGCATCTTTAGTACCTACTGCTAGACCTACTCGCCGGTCCCACACAGTGAATTTGAGCACGAGCTCGATACAAGGAATCAGAAACATGATATCAGAGCATATTTTACAATGAGCTACGTCTCTAAATTCACTAACACCTAAGACTAGACATACTTGGATTTGATTTGGTTGATTTACAGGTACATGTAGCGCAGAAGCGAGAATGTACATGCATCCATGATTCCATGTGTACAGTGCAAACCATATAAGTTGTGATGCGATGCTATAGCCTGACCAAAAATAGATATTATATGTAGGAGACCATTGAAGATAAAAGACATATACGACGACACAGCTCACCGCCACCATGGAGGAGGACCAGATGTCCCAGGTCCTCCCGGCCTCGCATAGCCACTGCGAGTTGAATTGCTTCTTGAATCTAGTCCGCCATCCATGTTGAAAGATCCAAAGTGCTGTGCAGCTGCATTGTTGGGATGTGCGGTTCCGTGAGGTTGGTTTCCCAATGAGGCCACGTTGGTCCGCGTTGTACCATGGAAAGATTGCAATTCACCTGTCGCCAGGGAGTATGAATCTAGTATGTTAGATGTAGTAGATGTAGATGACGACGACGATGATGACGATGACGACGACAATGAGCCTGCGGTTTGAGGAAAAACTGCGCTAGACATGACGCTCGATGGAGGCGCTCCGAAGGTGCTCCGTGGAGCTGGCACAGGTTCATGGAAACCAGAAGTCGCACCTATGAAGCCTGTTCTTCCGATTTCATAATCGACTTCCATTGGAGAAGATGGGAAATGTGGGCCGCTATCCTGCGTTGTTTCAGGCACTCGACGAGTGGCTCGATTTGTCAACCCAAACCAGGAAGTCGGGCGTGAAAGTGCTGGGCGACTTGACACATTAGGACGAGGTCCGCTGACGTTCTGGACGGATGGGAAAGTGCGGGGTCCCGTACTGCTCTGGGCTGCACTGGCAGTTGAGCTGGGAGGTTGATGATAAGGATCTAGGAACTGTGAACCCTGGGATTGCTCTGGACGTGGTGGGTGGATGTGAAGATAGTGATGATGATGGTGATGGAAATGAGTTCCACCACCATTAAACCTTGACGTCGCCACCGGCTCTGTAGGAGTACCAACAATCGTTTGGGCACGTGACAATGATTGTGGTTGGGTACCACTCCCTGATTGGGCATTAGACCCTCGGCGAGCGCGATTGATTAATTCACTCAAACGCATGGCAACAACCCCAGAGGAAGAGTCTGAGCTCGATGTCCGGCCGTGATTGCCACTTGCTCCCACTTCAGGTTCTCTTGACCCTGACCCACCAGCCCCCGCACTTGTCATTATGCTTGCCTTATATGGGCATTTTGGAGAATTCTTGACCTTTTTGCGACAGACAGGGCAAGTATTCGCTGTCTTGAGCCATTGCTGGAAGGGTAACTCGTCAGCAAGCGAAAGAAAGACAAAAGAAATCAAGTATACCTCCAAACAAGCTTTATGCAACCAATGGGTACATTCAACGAGCTTTGTGACAGGATCGTCGCGCCCATACTGCAGAAGAAAGGTAAGATACGTCACTGGACGAATTTGACAGATACATACATCATCCAAACATATTGGACACCGTGTCTCGCTGTCTTCCTTAGCCCATGCTTGATAGGTTCCCGTTGGAAGCGAGGCAATGACGTCGGCAGGTGTAGCTCTCGACCTGACTTCCCCAAGCGTTTCGCCTAGCGACAACAATCCCTCATACGAAGAGTCAAATAACTCATCCGGCTGTATCCGAAAAGAGAAGCATAAGGAACATTCCAGTAAGCACAGCACAACACAGCACACGCACCATATAATCACCCATATTTCTCCTTGCCACCGTCCGAAACATCGATCTAATACGAGTACCCTCTGCTCGTGACGTTCCGCGTGTGAGGCCAGCCCGCTGCCTCAAGGTGCGAATGGGTGTCCGTTCTTCGGGTGGGGCCGCTTCTTGCCGTTCTCGAGGCCGGTCTGTAATGTTTCGGTATGGATTGTGGGTGATAGTAGCGGAACTACCGGAGGTGAATGATGATCCGGAGCTCGTCGGAATAGATGAACCTTGAAGCAGTGGAGACCGCCATGGAAGTAATGTGAGGCGATTAGCATTCCCAGGTCTTCCGGGGGGGCCCTGGTGTGGCTGAGAAACATTGCGCCTGGAGGCTAAGTCAGATCGTTCGTTGTTGGGGCCATATCGCTCCATCATTTCACGCATGGTTCTCATCCTTTCATAGTCGCGATCCTGGGGTTGTATCAATGACTCCCATGAAGAGTGGGGGGCAGGGTTGTGTGCGGGGGCGTCACGCCTACTGCTAGACCAGAATGGATCAAGAGGCAGACTTTGAACACCTCTCTCTGCTTCATTCAATCGATGCCTCGCAAGATGTTCGCCGCTCGACTGTCCTCTCAACGGAGGGACGCGGCCCCGTGCAGCAGTGAAGGCGCTATTGACCTGTGTGGATGTGTTGTGAGAGTCGACGCCAAAAGCCAAGGATGTTGCTGAAGCAGCAGGCTCTGGCATCATATGCCTCGATGTAAACCGTGCACTATAGTATTAAGGAACATTCAGCAAATGGTTCGACGGGAGTTATACATAAACACTGACCTCGAGGCTGCTGTGCGTTCCCTTCCACGCCTTGGCTGCACAAATATGTCAGTGCTAAATACATCACGTGATTTGTTTAAGGGGGACACACCGATATACCCAAGTAAGAATCCATGTCATCGCTATCGTTATCTTCATCCGAGTTTCCGAAAGAAAACGCAGTGGAAAGTTGATGAACAGGAGGTACAGGCTCTGGTTCTGACGCACGGAAATCACCGCGTCCTTGATTCGCTTGTATCGACCGCCGTAACGAATCGCGGTATATTCCAGGCGGGAACATATCCAAGTTAACGCTGCTGAAAGGATGAGATCTCGCAGGTGTGTCACCGCTGGGCACCTGTGGTCGTTCCAAAGACATGCGTGGTGGAGAACGCGAGCGAGCAGTACGCAAAGTGTGAAGAGGTGGGGTAGGCGGACGATAAACATACGGTGGCTGCGCGTTTCCCTCCATTGAGTTTGTTGAACTCGGAATAGCGTTGATTGTAGCGAAAACAGGGTCAAAGATGCTGTCAGCTGGGTCTTCAGAAGAGATGTGGTTGCGGTCTCTTGACAGAGATCTGTTATTCGCACTTCTTGTCTGGGAATGTCTGTGTTCGGATAAAATCTCTGGAAATCGGACTCTCTCCCATTCGTTCAAGCCTCCTCGCCGAAACTGAGAAGGTGACCCAGAACCGTTTAATGCAAACGGTCTTGGAGGAAGATCGCTTGTTCGACTGGACGCCAAAGAGTGGGAAGATGTATTTGAGGGGTCTGCCTGGCTGGCTATAAGACGCCTCAAACGAGCAGCGGCAGTTGAAATGTCGGAATTGTCTCGAGCAGGCTCGTCGGAGTTGGGACGAGAATCAGACAATTGGGTGCGAAGATGCGCCCTAGCGTTGGTACGACGATGCTCTGCAGCACTCTCTGACACCAATGAGTTGCTGGACAGTGTTGTAGCGGAGGTATACAAGCGGGAATGAAAACGGTAGCGAGCCGGAGGAGGATTTGGCGGCTCATGTCGGGAAGGCGACCCAGACAATGAACGAGCTGATTGAGAAAGATTAGCGAATATAGTTTGGGACAATGCGCTGCACCTTACCAGTTTCCACGCCACGCTCCAGTAGCCCGCGGGCATTATGAAGACCTTGGATGATCTCATGCACACTATCTGGATGGGAGGGGTCATCTTCATCTTCATCATTTTCGCCGGTGATATCGTAACGGTTGTGAACCATCGCCCTGCGCCGTCTCTCGTGATCAATGGAGTCCTCTCCACCGAGACCCGCTAAGTAACGGTTAAATGACAACTCTGCTTCGTCGGAATCTTCAATTGCCTGTTCTCTGGAAAACGAAGAAAAAGCCTCGGAGAGAGGGCGAACTACCAATATTTGTAAACAACAGGGAAAAATTAAACATAAAAGCCATACCTAAGTGACGCGAGCGTTCAATACCTGATCTAGCGCGCACAGCAGCCTCTTGGTATCTGTCAATCGAGCGAGAAGGCGATGGGTTATGGTCCTGGATTGGATTCGAGGCATCCCGGTGTCGTTCCTCGTCAGCAGCGTAGAAGTGAGAGATAGAGTCTCCAAGCACTGGAACAAATTGTAACTTTTAGTCAATATGATCATCACCTGTGTGGGAGAGAGAACCGACCAGAGGATGACGCAGAAGTGCCTGTTGACGTACGCGCAGAGCTCATGGATCTCCAGCCGGCATCTGAATGGGTAGTACGTCTTGCGGCCTGCGGCCTAGTATCCAAATCTGAATTTGGTGGCTCGAATGTATTGTCAAGGAGTCCTGGACGCATAGTTACGTCTGGCAATGACGCAACTGGCGGTGAAGAACGGGAGGGAGTAATAGTAGCCCATGTCAAATTGGATGAGCCAGAACTTGGTACACGATGAACACCTTGCCTGCCGACTACATCGGGCGACGACGCAACAGGCGGTGAAAGACGGGAAGAGGCAAGAGCAGCCCATGACAAATTTGATGGCCCAGAGCTTGACCCACGGCGGACACCTTGCCTGCCGACGGGTCCATTTAAGGTATCAGTATTGTTTCTTTCAGTTTGCAGGACTGACGGTACGGAGGTAAGTGATCCGTTGGGAAGCTCGTCAGATTCTCGGATAGATGCGTTCGTCCTCGTTGATGAAGAGATTGATGGAGATGGGCGGTGTGAAGGATGAGGGGTGTTGGAAGAACGTGTAGGATTGGAGGTGTTACTTGATGAGGTAGTATAGCCGGGACGTGATGATAAGCCTGTCAGCGGGCAGTATGTAATCAGTGCTAACGTGTATGTAACAGATCAAAGAGACAACTACCATCTGATGCTTGGAAAGATAACGAGTCAACCTGTCTGGGAGCCGCAGCATGTGTACCCCCAGACCCAATGGAAATAGTTGCATCGGTGAAATATTGACCACGGCGATCCTCCCCAGATGTGTGTGATGAGCCCGGTGAAGCTCCAAAATGAGTCCAATCCCAGCTGTCAAATGCTTCGGTGGTATCATTTGACGATTCGCGTGGGGACAGAACGGGAGATGCGGTAGGGTGCCAAGACGGAGTACGTGAGTGTGAACGCCGGAGGACTGCAATGTGGCTATCAAATTCGTTGAAGCGTTCTATGGAGCTTCTAAGAGCGTCGTGTGCAGTAGAAGATACTGCTTCTGGCGGAGGTACAGGGCGTGGGATGTCCAAGGAAAAAACAGAGCTATCTGACATGTCCTCATCCTGAGGTTCGGTCTCAGTGCTCGGTGGCACAGGCGTTGGTGAGACCAAAGTACCCGGAGTGGAAACAGTGGCGGGAGATGGATAAGCTGAGGATCTCCTGTTCTGGTCAAGAGAGAGGTTATGGTTGTTGGTAGTAGAGCCCTCGCTCAGCGAGGCGCTCGATCGCGCGGAATTGTACTCGGAGGACATGGAAGAGTCCGCAGAACGATTACTGACAGAGGAGCTGCTCGTACTCCTTGCCCTCTTGTTTCTTTCATTTCCGCCGCCGCTGCTACTGGAGCCTGTCGGGACGCTATGGTTTGTTGTGCCACTCCCGCTGGCTTGAAGAGCGCTAGTCATTGGAGAGCCCGAATCATAGCCAAACTGTTCGAACGTCCGCTTGAACGACGTTGCATTTGGTGCAAAAGAGACATGGAGATGAGAGGGATACTCTGAAGACATGGATGCAGACCACAAGGTCTACTGAGAAGAAAGAACAAAGGAAAAGGGGGTCCTAGTACCTAGTCACGTAGTGATGGTAATTACAAGTCCCACCCTTAACGGGCATATACATGCTGAGTCAATTACACTGAACCCTTTTCTCCGATCATCGTCTCTTCATCAGAATCGCTCTTCGTCAAGTAATGCTCTGAGCTCATCGCAGGATCCAGTGCATAATACGTGTTTCTGTCAACGCAATTCCCATGATTGCAACGAGGAGCTAGAACTAGAATAGCTCTGGTTCAACATGTGCGCAACGTTATCACGGCCTACCGTACCATCATTCTATCCGGAATGTTTGATTTCGGGCACCTCAGCCGCATAAATTGGATGATGAGACGTCCGATGTTTCAGGCGGCCGTCGACATCACCATACTTTGGGCTCCAAGCAGCTCTGGGCAACAGTACGGGCATTTTATTGTTCTATATGGGATTTCTTTCATCCTGGTGGTATTGCTGCACAGGATTCGGAGAGAACACGGTGCGGTATCAACATGTCGACAGGCCACAGCTGGCAACGCCTGCAGTGATTAATTTACCTCCACAAATCGTCATCAACCAAGTGACTAAGTGCATAGTCACCCGCTGTGCGTGTTGCACTTTTCGTAAGTCCAACATATTATTGTCTTCCATTACGGCTAACTCCAAGCAGCTCCAGATATGATGGCAAAGTGGAGTCACTCGTTGCATATTATGATCAGGGTGTGTACGATAGTAATCTCAAAATGTAAAATTAATTTACCAACATAGTGTATAGTGTATGACGTTCACACTGCTGTTGCATTTCACCAGGACGTGTCAACTTGGCAGCATCACGCATGCAGAGAGGCGCAGCTCTGCTACGCCTTAACTCGATGAGTACACAATATTCTCCTGCAAACAGGAGTTCCCAGCGCGCAAGAACTGTGTGAATTTCTGATATTCTCACGTCAGCATAACCCTCTATGTCCGCAATTCTGGCAACTTACCTGCCCACAGAACAGGTGAGCAGGCTGACAATTATAAGTGTCATGCCTGCAAAAGACGCCGCTAGGATTACCCCGACCATGTATACTTTCAAAGAGGTTTCGTCGATGTTGAACGTTCTGAGTATGCAAGTATTGGGTATTTCCGGGTCATTTGTTGCTGTACTAGGACCAATCAGCAAGGGCCCGGTCACGGTCGGCGCAGTCATCACTGGACACCGGACATGAAGCTTGCGCAATGATTCAAGTAGGGCAGACTCACTGCTGGCCACCGATCCTGCAACGGTCGCAAGTACAGAAGCCGTGCTTCCAGACTCCGGCGTATCCGAGGCAAGACTTATAAAATTACGACTGCTTCCTATAGATGAAGAATCCGGGTAAGTTCCCTGCGTCCTGGAAAGCAAATCCCTGTTAATTTACGAATACGCGATGGACGCGGGATGACATACATGATGACAGAGGATCCGGCAGTAGATGCCCGACGTGCCGTATTGGATCCTGCAGGTATAGCCAAGATGATGATGGCGGTATGAAGTAACAAGAACATCATCATAAGTTTCATGCAGGGCGGGTCAAAAGATCTGGGGTGTGATCTTAGGCGCGTTCGATGGTTGACATTAGCTGGCTTTTGAACCAGCAAGCGATCATACACAACGACATCGCTATGGCACGTACGAGATAAGCATTCCACAGTGTCATTGGTATAGCATGTTGGTTAGCTGTCGTAGCAGCTGCCGCCCTCGGAAGCACTCATACAACGTGTACTTGGTTTTGTATCAGTGGTTGGTGAATGTGGGAGATTAATTGAACCACCCTATCATGTTCCCTACGTTATCTGATATCATTTTATCGTAACCACCCAGACTCTCCGGAACTCAAGAATCAAAACGCAGATCCACTCGAATGGGGGGTTTTCCCTTTATCTGACATCTAGGTTCATAGAACATTCTATCATAAGACGCCGCCAAGTATCAGTATTCCAAAGTCGACCAGCCGTGGACGTCGGCGTAATACACTCAAACCGCGGACTCGGGACTGCTCACAAGCAAGGTTCCGAATATTTGCGCAGTACTGCAGCTGACTGCCTTATTCGAGAATGCTGCGCCACAGCTCGTTTTGATGCTTTCCTAATCTAGATCTCATTTAAATGACATGGTTTTCCAAATATTTTTCGAAAAACATAAGGATAAGGCTTTTATCATATGCTGCTTGACTTGATGTGACAGCCTTTGGTTATTGTATAGGTGACGCTGCTTTTACATCACCAGGTACTCAGAACCTTTGAGAGCATGTCAATGAAATTGGCACATGCCCGTGGGGGCGCCGGGGGAGCTAGGCTCTCGGTTACATTAATATCGCTGCCATTCCACCCGATTGACAACTGGACCTTACAATTACTATAACCTGACCCTTGGCTGACCCTGCCACTGAATTCAAATATCTCTAGCACGCAGTATGGATGATAGATACATCACTACGCAGTAACAACTATCTCTCTCAGTAGCAAGTCTAGAGACGTGTATACAAATATATCTATGTACACTATGTGTGTGGATACCGATGCCAATGTGAGAAACCATATATGCCGCAAAACAACCTAGCCAGGATGAGCTCAGCCCCATCGAGACGTTTCGTGTAAGATTACACTGCCCATGAGAAAAGAAAACACATGCATACTTGCAAGAAAGCAGTACCCTCCGTTATGCCATAAACACATATTCAATCAAAACGGCAACCGCGATGACTCCCACACCTCGGGGAACGGGTACCACATAGCTGGCAGCTGACACAGCTCGATAGCCCCTCCTTTGCTCCGACTGATCTCGAAGTCTAGCCACGCGTCCTGATAACGGTGGGTCCCTGCGCGTTTCCTATACTCAAACCCGACTTTGCCGAGAAGCTTGAGGCCCGTCGCGAGGGACTTGGCACAGTCTTTGCGTACTATGCGCCATGACTCAAATTCATCGACATCGTCGTATTCTGGGAATTGCATGCAGATGCGCAGGTCTCGAAGAGCAGATAGAGGGGATAGTGCTTCGAGGAACTCTTGCTGCGGCGATCACATATGCCAAAATCAGCCCATATTTAGCGTCAATATTTGATCAGGCCTGAGGGAAGAGACGTACCCAACTTGATACCGATTTACCATCGTGGTAACCACACCGCTCAATCTCTAACGTCTGAAGGTGAGGGCAGTTGGAGGTGATGGACCAACACACGTTGGGCGTTAGCTTGTCCTCGATGATGATGCGCAAATGTTTGAGTTCACAGGTGCTCGCAGCAATATCTGCGAGCACATGGTCAACTTCTGCTTGGCCAAGTGCAATGGGCCAACGAGGAAGGTCCACGATAGCGAGAATGGCGAGTCGTTGGAGAGATGACATGTGGTTGAGAATCCCACCAAGCTTGCAAGCGTTTGATATGGCGAAATCAGTAAGAGTGGCGAGCTTTGCTGTGTGCGCCGGATCAGGAGGATCATCGCGCCCAAGGACATGGAACTCCTGCGCTTTACTTTGCGCGAAGAGTAGGCGCAGATCCCGCAACGCATCCATACGTGCAAGCACGTTGAAAAGCTGCACGTGCGCTGGCGGCTCATACGGCTCCGTGACCGGTGCATTACCGGTGAGCGCAAAGGTTTTCAGAAATGGCCAATCTATTCTGGCTAGAGCACCAAAAGAGCATAGACTACCGGATAGCTCGAGATGGGTGATGTGTGCTGCGTGCGTCTTGACAAATACGATGGAGGCTTGTATCTCTTGGACTTGCCTCCAGCTGGCCTGCGAGCGATACTTCCTCCTCCAGTCACGTATGAAGTACGTGATATCAGAAAATCTCGGATCTGTTGGTCCATCACCGATGCGAAGCGTCTGGCCAACAGGTGTGAGGGAAATCTGCTTGAGTGTAACGGGGGAGATAGATGTTATGCCTATTTGAAGCGGCGTGTCGATGAATATGATAGCGCTGAGGGATCGCGATAGACCCAACGATTGAAAAAGGGACCGGGGTATGACAAAGGGGCAACTCAGTGTCACCTTCGATAGTTTGGGCATTTTTGCAATCGCCAAATTGAATTTGACCAGGTCGTGAGGGACATAATTACCATCTTTGTCCAGTGTTCCCCACTTGAGGCGAGTAGGGTTCTGTCCATTCGTCAAACCATTCCAGCCGAAAGTGCCTTGGCGCCGAAAATCACGGTGAATCTTGATGCTATGGGAGGGGGAAACGACAACGACAGGCTTACCTGATATATGGCCAGAGGGCCTCAGGGAAGAAACGAAGGCCAGATTCATCAGCCTTGGATTTATGAGGCCACCGCACCTCAGAGAAGAGGTAGGGGAGGCACGATTCGCGGAAAAATCGAGATGTGCTGGCAAGGGTCAACAGCGCAGATGGCGAACCTCCATTGCTAGACAAGAGATCGTTGATGAGAATGTGCGTGATGTCCGCGTTCAAGATGGACATGACGGGACGAGAGGGATATATCGTATGCACGGTGTAAAAATTGGAGAAGGTATTTGGACTAATCGTGTTGGGTGCGCAAGGCGATTAGAAGCCTTGTGACTTGTAGTAAAAATTTCTGGGTGCAGTGAGGCAAGAAGACAGGTGGTCAGCACCGTTCATTCTGAAGCCTTGTATGGTGCTGTAACGTACAGACGAGTATCACGGAAACCGCGAACTTAAAGCGCACGTTTGGCTAGGAACCCGCCTTTGAGGAGGGTTCTGGTTATGCTGGTGGTTGATCTTGAAGCCTGTGCTATCAAGCCTGTAAATATGGCGAAGTTAGTCTGAGAAACGCCCAAAGGTGTCAGATCAATCGTGCCGAATTCACAGGCTCTAGACTTAGCCGAGACTTCGCGATCTAGACCACCAATTTCGGCCCAAACCATTCGTTGGACAAATACAAATTGTGCTGCCCTTACGAGCGACTTACGAAAAAATGAATGAATGGATGACCACATCAAGTCCCCTTTCCTGGAGGCCACGTCTAATTTGATCTAAGTGCACAAACCCCGCATCCACGCCGAATCAGAATTAGAAGCCAAAGGTTGAAGTCCTCACTTCATGTACAAATTAACTGCCAGGGTTCATGCTTTGCTATACTCAACTTACAACTCTCTTGCCTCCAGACTCTCATAATTTCCAGATATTCCACCTTATTATCACTTGGATGCATACTTCTCCGTCCATTCCCTGCTCACTCTTTGTGCGTCCTTCTCATCCTCCTTGTAGTGCTTGGCCACATCGGTAGCCAGTGGGTCATCGGGATTGGGCGCACTCAGCAAAGCTTGTATCGACAACAAGACTGTCCGAATTTGCAATGCAGGGGACCACTTGTCTACAAGGCAGTGGCGTTCAAACCGGTAGGGACCAGCACCAGGTACCCGAACGCACCTTTCAAAATATCTAAACAGATTCTACCCAGTTTATCTGCCGTAGCGAAGCATATTTAGATTGCGCAGGCACTATGGTAATCTAAGAGCTCACCGATGTTTGGGTGGTATATCTTTGTGAGAAATCGCACCTTTGGGGGACTCATGGGATATTCCTCCGGCAGGAATAGTTCCAGGTGAAATACGCCCTCTTACCGAACGCTTCAGCATTCCGACAATGCATCAATTATAATCTTGACAGCTCACGTTGGAAAGGACTGCCATCAGGCCCTTGAATCGTTACGTCAAAGTAACGCAGGTTATCCTCGTGCGGTGCAGCAGTGATTCCAGGCGCGGGGTCTGCGACGAGACGCTCAGTTTCCTATGCGAAGAAATGAAGAATAGATAAAAGAAGCATGGTCAGGGATGGCTGACTACTGGGAAGATGCTGTAGACATGATTGCACACACCTTGATGATCCGCTAGATAAGTACCAGATCATATTCAGAACATATTACTTCGGAAAATGATATTGAACACCTGCCTTGGGAAGAGCCATATCTAGAGCTCAAGGGTCGTGCACGGTGGTAGACAATGAATGAGATGGAAACGAGATCATTTGGCGCAGCGGACCCACTTGGGAGTCTATGTACGGTATTTTGTTCTCACGCCTTACATGTTACCAATTCAAGAAACTTGTGGCATGCCAGCCTTCGCCACACCCAACGGTGAGCTCATAATGTCCAACGATGTTCAGATGAATGTAAACCGATGTGTCAACATATCGACTACCACGAAATTGTGCTGATTCACAGCATTCCAGGATGCAGGCGCTGAAAAGCGGGATGACTGGGTAAAAATCACCAGTTCAGACGGCTACTCCTTTCTCGTGAAGCGAAGTGTCGCTGCGATCAGTGGCACCCTCAAAAACATGCTTAGCGAGGATAGTGAGCTCCCATTCCTTTTGGAAGCTTTGCTATGGTTTCCGAACTATTACACACTACAGGTAGTTTCAGGGAGGCAATTGCCAACACATGTCCGATCAGTGAACGGTGGGTGGCGACCCGTTTAGGAACCTGCTTTGTCCTCCCCCTAATAGCCTAAATAGCGCTGCGGTAGTCGAGAAGGTCTGTGAGTATATGTCCTTTAAGGCTTACTACGAGGGGCCTGGATCCAAGGAGGGTGTTGATGTGAATGAATTCACCGAGCGCATACCGCCCGAGGTGGCGTTGGAATTGTGTGTCATATCATTACCTGTTCCATTATGATCTGAATCAACTTGCATCGACTAGGCTCCTTGCGGCTGATTATTTAGAAGGTGTGCTTGATTCTTGTGTATAAGGTTCACTAACGCCCAGCATCATTCAGTATAAACTCTTTCAGACATTCATCTCAAGTAGTCTGGAGTAGGCTACTAATTAATCTTGATTTGTGGTCGACCTATCTGTGCTGCATTTCATTCGTTAAGTAATGTACTAGTGTGGGCGTTGAAACAGGAATCAGAGGTATCCTCGGGCATTGCAGTCTAGAACATCATGTCATCCATAGATCGTCACGCAGTCTCGAATCTCTTCAAAGGCATTGGTTTCCCTGTCACTTTCCTCCCAATCGCGACACGCTCAGCAATCCGTTCAACCGTTCCACCCTGAAGACCGTCTTCATCGGGTTCCTCTAGTGCCCGGCGGATCAATTCCTCCATACTCACTCCGTCAATGTCGCCGCTGCCGCGGCGCCGCATACTCGGTGCTGGTATCACAGGGAAGTCAGTCACCGAATCCGTTGGTTGGAATATCGGCAGACGCTCATTCAGTAGATCTGAGCGGCGACTATGCGAATATAGCAGATGAGAAAATGTCCGCGACGCGAGAATTGTCAATTGTACTTACGCGTCGGCGAAGTTGCGAATATAGTGCCTCATTTGTGTCCCTTGCGCTGTGAGCAAATCTGACCCGACATGGCCCAGACCACCGATGGACTCCTCTCCTGCAACCGCAGCCAATTCTGACGCGTTCTCGGCCTCTTCGCTGCAGCCAGCCGAGTGAGCATTCCGCACTAAATCAAATTGCAGAAATCACGGACCGAAGAAGTTGGAAGACCCGTTGCATCTTTCCAACCGCAAGAATCTTGTTCTTAATCGCCTGCCTACGTGCTGCAACTTCGGAAGGCGGCAAGGCAAGGTCCGTAACGGCCCTGCTGGCTTCATCTCCCCCTCCGATGGAGACTTCGGTGTCTTCTAGCTCTTCTGGGCTGCACGTTGCCAGGATCGCGAGCAACATCTCCGTGACTGTAAACCTTACCGTAAACAAACCCTGATTTGTGAATTCGTTTCAACTTACTTTTAGCACCGACGAAAGGCAAGCTCCACGTGAATCCATCCATGAAATTGGGAAGCCAGTAAGGATGAGAACTCGAGTTGTACTGACGGATAGTGATGTTCTTGTTCGCATATTTGATCACTGCTCCGCGGTTGTGATACACATCCAGGTAGTTTGGCGCAGAAAACACTGTAATGACGGAGGGAAACTTCTTCGTCGGTGTCTTTCTATACATCAGGTATCTGTAATTATTATTTCAGCAGAGAACAATACAGCATACCCTAATCAAACAACTCACCCTGCATCCTGAGCTTCGTGCCCACGCACAATCCCCAGCAAGTTATTGCGCTCCAGGAATTTGCACGCCGCCTCGTATCTTCAGTTAATTCAGACTAGGAAAAAAGATCGCACATGGCAACACTTACGTGAAGAAGTATGAACACCCTCGCACCCCGTTATGCTCGAACGTGGTGCCAGGAGGCAGGGGCGGACCCTGCTGTGAATGTTCGTGTTCATATCCAAAGTTAACCACAGGATCGGACCATAAAAGGTCGCACAATAAGCCACTCGATCCAGGCTCCTGGAACCGGTCGAGCTACGTCCTAAGGTGAGTCCGGAACGCACTCGAGTCGATCACAGAATCAAACACACCCTGCGCACATCCTCCAAAGTCACCAACTCTGGTGAAAGACCCCCGTGGACGCAGAAAAAGCGGTTATCTACGAGTGCTGAGACTGGAAGAGCGCAGAATGAAGCTATACAAGCCTCGTACACTGCTGGTGAATATTTATGGAGACCTATGATCACATCGTAAGCATTGTATGACGCAGGTCGCCGCACAAGAGCTCACACTCTCGTTTGAAAGTGAAGTATTCGGTTAAATGTCGGCATTCGTGATTGCCTCGTAGTAGCGTGATATGCTTTGGGTATTGGAGCTTGAGCGCATATAGATAAATCAGACACTAGTCCAAGATCAGAACGTAGACTTCTGCAAAGGATCTAAATGCTCACTTCGATTCCAAAATTTCCACGATCAACATAATCCCCGAGGAACAGATAGGCATTATCAGAAAAATTTCCACCGATCTCCAGTAATTTCATCAAATCATACTGTCCCCACCCCAAAACTAGTTAGTGCAGGCGAGCAGAAGAGAAACGTGGATAACGCACATATTGCCCATGGATATCCCCGCATACTTGAATCATTCAGCTCACACGCCCACTCGTGCCCAGAGCGGACTCACTTGTCACAGGACTCTCTACGTTCACAAGGTTAGGTTCTCGAGTCAACAGCGAGGTCGCCTGGTGGATGATATACAAAGCCTGGGCCTCAGTCAGACGACCCTCGTGGAAGAAATGGTGCTTCAGAAAATCTGGATTGGGAAGCAGTTCGCCGTATGCCGCATTGTGCATGAAAAGCTGCTCATCTGTAGGATGGAACCCCACAGGTTGTGGAACCTGTGAAAAGAATGGAAAGATCAAATTTTCTGTATTCTGTTCGTGGTTCGACCTCGGACACTGACTCACGCTTGGTACTGCGCGATCTTTGTAACTCACTCCGGGCGCGTTGCTCCACTGGGGAGTTCCTCCAGGAATGACTGGATCCCGCTCAGGGATCTGATACAAGGCAGACTGGAAGTACTCTTGATTACTGCCGGCCATAGGTTGTGGAGGAATGTATGCGCCAAGATTGCGGTAGTGAGAGGTGGAGTTAGTACAGCATAAACAAAACGGATCTAATTATGGAGAGACGCCCAACTGTCAACGTTTCAACTCCTAGCGTCTGCAAACACTCAATCATGATAATGTCGCGCGTTCCGCGCTGAGCTGGTCGTCTGGGCGAATGATGCAGCTGATAAGATATCGGTTAATAAGTCCGCACCCCGGCAGAAATAGAACACCTGGACTCTGGCGTAAGAATTTCAATCACTGATATTACATAGTTTTTACTAGATCTACAAGCCCGAAGAATGTCACCGAAAGCACAAGACGCAAACCCCGCCGATACGTTCAATCAAAGTGGTATCCCGTCATACTCGTCGTAACCCAGAGTAAGGTTCAAATTCTATCAAGAAATCAGATTGCTGACACCCCGCAGTTATCTTGGCGGAACGCACCTGTAAGCACTGCGTTGCGGCGCCCTTGAGAAGATTGTCCAAGCCACCCTAAATTCAGTTAGCCACATGTGACATGTCCTAGCATACAGGACAAACATACCACGACAACAGCTCGATCACCCTCGCTGTGGACTTGGAAACCTCCCACAGTCCAGCCGTGCTTATTCTCGATGTCTGACAATCCTGGGACGCCCGCTTTGACATGTATCAACTTCTCTCCACTATACTTCTCTTCATACAGGGCCTTGACATCCCGTGCAGTCACCTTCTCACTAAGCGGCACGGACAATGTCGAAATGATACCGCTGAACCAAGGTGCAACAGAGGGTATGAAGGCAACTTTTATGGGGTTGGTGGGATCTGCGAGCAGACTGGATAGGTGACGGCCTGCTTCGCGCTCGTGGATGTGGTCTGTGAGCGAATACGGACGGAAACCGCCAGCAAGGCTCTCTGGTGTGACCTTGGGCACCGTCGTCGGCCTGCCATCTGCGTCGCTCGTGCCTGTAACGGTCCCAGCACCGCTGTACCCCGAGATGCCAAACACCGTAGGCTCAGATGCATGCTTTACGTACTTCAGTAATGGTGCGATAAGCAGTTGCGTGGAGGTGGCATAGCATCCAGGATTGGATATTCTCTTTGACTTTCGGATGCCATCACGCCCATAGAGCTCTGAGAGAGTCGCGGAAAGAGAATGAAAACAAAAAATACAGGTAAATTTGGGAGTTCAACAAGGTATTTACACAGACGCCTCACCAGGCAACCCATACTTCCACCCGGATTCAAAACGGTAGTCCGCACTCAGGTCGACAATGACACTTGATTCACCGGAACTGCGCACCTTTGCGCCACGGTCAATTGCATCAACAAATGGCTTGCAGACGCCATTGGGGAGCGCCATGACCCACGCATCAACCTCTCCGTCCTTTTCCATTCGCTCAACGTCCTCGACAGACAAGTTGCTGTGAGTGATTGAGGACTTCGTGTATCCCTGCAGAGGGTATCCTGCCAACTGTCGAGATGAGACATGCGTGAGATCGATGTAGGGATGGCCGGAAAGAAGGGTTGCGAGGGCCTGTCCTGTGTACCCGCGCGCTCCGATCAAGGCGAGGCGCTTGGGCTCAGTAGATGTGGGCTGCGAAGTGACAGCAGTTGCGTACCCCCGAGAGCCGGAAGGTACTTGACGACGGGCAAGGGTAGAATAAGACCTGGTGGCACCGGGGAACGGTTGTTGAGGGGGAGCAGACGGTCCTACAGGCAAGTATGCCCTTTCGAGCCTGCCTTTGGCCTCGAAATCCTTGACAATCCTCTGCACCTCAGCAACATCCTGCACGCCATACCAGAACAGGCTCTTGCCGGCGCGCGTGAAGCTTCCATCAGCACGCTCAAAGTGCCAGGAGCGGTTGTCGTCATCGACCTTCGCAGTCCAGAAGAGCTTGCGATGATCTTTCTTGATAGCGTTAAAAACATTATCAATGACATTGTTGAGAACTCCGCTGCGAGAGGCGAGAAGCTTTGTCATTATTGGCACTTCACCTTCAGGGTGGGTGACAATGGCGACCGCGTCGAGGGGCTCATCGCCGTAAATGGTATACGGCGTCTTTTGGAGGCTGCTGAGGACGCTAGTGACGCTTGAGACGCCAGATTGTACCTCTGGATCACGATCGTGGATGACTTGGCGGAAGCGATCAGCGCCGACACTCTCGATGCTGTTGTGTTTGAAGAGCCGGTAACCACGGCGGATTAGGGTACCAGCACCGCTGTCGGTGAACAACTCCCTCTGCAAATGATCGGCAGAGATGACAGCAACAGAGGAGGAGCGGGGTAGGTGGTCAAGGAGCTCCTTGAATTCACGCAGCTTGAGTTTGGTACCGTACTTGACCCACGGCTCCTTCATGAGCTGTTCGTACTC